GAGAGAGGGAACACAAGCAGGGGGAGTGGGAGAGGGAGAAGCAGGCTTCCCGCGGAGCAGGGAGCCCGATGCGGGGCTCGATCCCAGGACCCTGAAATCATGACCTGAGCCGAAGGCAGACGCTTAACGACTGAGCCACCCAGGCGCCCCTCTACTTACAATCTTAAAAAACATATTAAAAAAGTCACCTAGGGATGACATTAGTAATTTCCTGATCATACTAGGCAACTATCATTACTTTTCTTAGTCATGATAATGATGTCTTGATTCTATAGGAGAATGTTTTTAGTTTTTGGAGATATGTGCTTAAAGTAGGAGTGATTTCTCATGAGCTTTATAATTTATTTTGAATTGGTTGGTAAAAAAAATATATTTATATGGAAAGAAAAGGAGGAAGCAAAATACTCCTCTCCTGTACTATCTCTTCAAAACAAAAACAAAAGCACTTCCCTTAAGGAGGTAGATTATTTTTGTCTATTTTGTCAGTATAAAGAGGAAATCCTAGTCATATTGTCTTTATGTCCCTAAGTAGAATTATAGACAAAATAAAAACTTACCCATTGTCTGAATTGTTTTATACCTGTAGTCAAATTCATCTTGCAGGTCTTCTAAATATTTGGTGTCTTGTTCTGTCATCTTTTTACAAAAGAAAACATACTCACTCTGTTGTTTTAATTAAGCATGTCAGTGAAACATCATCATCAGTATTTCAAAGTATGCTGTTTGGTGCTTCCGGCCTCCAGTCACGTCCTGGACTAAGTGTATAGAACCTACATTTCTAAAGAGCAATACCCATGAAGGTTGAATAGCACTGGAAGAACCAGACTAAATCTGCTTTTCCATTTGCACTTCCTGATCATTTGGAAATCTTTCAGCATCTTGCCTCTTATTTCTCATTTAGTTCCAAATGACTCTACTAATGTCTTTTTTTTTGCTGGAGAATATGGATACCTTTTCCCTTTTAGTTCCATATAACTCTGCATTAACGTACCAATTATCTTTTCACTTAAAGTCTCCATTCTCATCTGCTGTAGTTTATGGCAATTCAGTCTACATTTTTTCCCCCTCTCTACTGCTTAGAAAAATATCCCTGTGTCTTGTTTCTGTTTTGAGATTTCACTTTGCTCTTCTCCAAACCTGGTGATGTCTGTCTGCTCATAATAGGTATTAAGTGCCAAGATCTGGGCTGAAGGCTTTTCTTATATTATCTCATATAGTCCTTCACAGCAATCCTGTGATGGTGGTCATCCTCACTTTTATAGATAAATGCAGAGATTTACAATGTGAAGGTTTAGAGGCATGGAGTTTGGTGGGGTAGGCCCAGTCTCCAGTAAATTAAAGCTGAAAAGTTCCCCCCCAAGAAATCGTTTCTAATATGAACATAGTATGTGAGAGATAGTTATTTTATTATCAAATTGCCCTGTGATTTCTGTAAGGACTAACTTTGGGCACAGTTAGATGTTTGGGGGCAATAGCTAGCCTTGCTTGGTTTCTATGAGCTTACTCACCTGCACACTATTTTTAATGGCAGCCACTTTGTGCTCCACATTCCTCTGCCTTTCTGAGACTGAAGAACTTTGTAAGGATTTCTCCAGAGGTCCCTGGAAAAAGAATGTCTTGAAATTTCAATGATATGAATAAAACAAGTTTATGATAAGTGTAGTATATGTAGTATACTTTGAAATGAGGTTTGAATTTATAGGATATGGAATACTACACAGCCATTAAAAAGCATACTTTATTTAATGACATTTAAAGTAGCATTAAGTTGTTAAGAAAAAGAGCAAATTATAAAAACACCATGTATTTATGTTCCCTCTTCCTTATATATATGTATGTATAAATATATGGGTATATGTATAGACATGTAAACTCAAGTACATGTGATTGGAAGAACACACACACCAAAACATTATCAATACGTAAGTGGAATTACAGATGATTTTGTGGCTTAAACTTTTTCTCCTAATTTTCTATAACAGACTTACGTTGCTTTTGAAATTCTCTAAAATGAATACATGTAATTTAAAAATGAGTATAGCAAAACTACATTAAATTGGACTCAAATTCAGAATTAGGGATGTTGACTCTGCTAGGATGAGATTTACTTTTACACTGGAACAAAGGGAGTTCACTAAAGAATATCTAAAAATGTTAGCCTAGTTCAATAGAAAGGCTAACCAACCTTTCCACACACCATTTCTTGGTCATTCAAATAATCTAACATTGAGTGTTCCTTAGATATAAAGACACTGAATGTGTTCCTTAGATATCAAGCCACATAGATACCCAGTTAGAATGTCAGCAACCTTTGCCTTAGAGTTGGGCGAAGAGCTCCGGTTAGAAAGGCTGATGACTTGACTAAGCAAATCAGTGGTGGAACCTCAAGTAGAACTAATGTGGTTGGCTACAAATCAAGTGTTCTTTCAACCAAACCACATTCTTCAGATTGGAAAAATAGTTATAAAATCCCTCTCTCTCTCTCTCTTTCTCTCTCTCTCTCTCTATATGCTTCCATATATTTGTATATTGGTTTGAAGGTTTGAAATTTTTGTGGTAGTATGTGGTACTGGCAGATTGTTTGTAGTTTCTAATTTGACTGATACCTGACATTTGAAGACAACACCCACACCCACACCCCCCCACACACACACACTAAAATGACTGGAGATAAGAGGGATATAGAAAAGAACAGCTGAGAATATATGTGAGAATATCATATATTAGTAGTAACAGCATCTTAATTTTTACCTAAAATGCACTGAATCAAACTATATTTACTTTAGAAGCACTATACTTTAGATTTTAAATTAAATAAAAATATTATCCTTTATCTAAAAAAGAAGAGCAAATTGTTAAAATTTCATATTTTTCCAAAAACAACCATAACACGACAATAACTAAGTCTAAACATTCTTAACAGCTCAAAAAAAGATACTTTCCTGGGACCTTTAGAAATACATATAGTGGTGTGATTTACTAAATTATAGAGGACATCATCTGGAAACTGATTACTTACATACTCTTTCCTTTTTATAAGGATTAACTGAAAAAGTATTCCCAAGGACTTCATTGATCCCTCTACTTGTCTTTGATAGGGGCTCTGAATTCACTGAGAATAGTGTGATAAAATATAATCTAAAATACGGCAGGGCAAAGTACATTGAAACAATCAACAAGCAAGTATTTATGGAGTTTCCATAAGATAAAATTTTGTGTGTGTAGTTTTGGACTGGTGGGGGGTAGGAAATCGGGAGCCATAGAAGGTTTTGACAAAGATCAGTCCCTGAGGATAATCATGCTGAGGGAAGCAAAGTCCAAACGGTAGTTAGGAATTCAGCTAGGAGGCAGTTAACTATATTCCTCAACTGATATTGTAAGACCATGGACCAGAGTGTGACCAATGGAAACAGAAAAGAATGTATAGAGAGGAGTCCAGAAACAAACTCTAGAAAGCCTTGGTAATTATCTCAGTATGAAGGCAGAGAAAAGGAATTACTCGAACATGATCCTAAGAGCTTGATTCCAAGTGACTGGAAGGATGGTGGCACCATTAACACAGGTAGAAGGAGCTGATGGGGAAGAAGGTAAGAATTTCTGTTTCAGAAAAATGGAGTTCCAAGTGATAACAAGACCACAAGTTCAGAAAATATTACCTGAACGGGCATGTTGGCTGCAGCCAATATTCTCCTCTCTTCCCTTAAACAATTCGAAATAACCACAGCTACGTGCATTGGATTTCCATGAAATTTTCCCTGGAAAAAAAGTGAGCAAAAACAAACATAAAAGCTTAAATATATACATCATATGAAAACATCACTACTTGTAAATCAAAAATAATCTCTCAATAAATATATGAAACTATTTGGGATTTGTTTCAACAATCTATTCTAAAGCCACAGAAACGTGTATTGTGAAACTCCTATGGAGCATATTGCTCTCTCTTCAAAAATCATTTTTAATAATTAAAAATAATTCTTGAACACCCCTTAGGAAAGGCCCTGAACACACACTCGGGAGGATCCGTTTATTTTAGGCTTAGGATAGGTTCTAGGTAAAAGAGTTACTTCTTTGTAAATGATTATGCACCGGGGTGGTCCCAGCCGTTCGCCCGTTCACTCTGTGCTTCGTGGTAAGCTTAAAGCATTCTTTGGTCCCTCTTTACCGTTGTTCATGTTAACTAGCTTATAACTATACGAATTTACTAGAGGGAGACTATCACACATTTCAGCAACAATATTTTTATCACACCTAAGCATATATATTTTTTACTACCCGGGCTAATGGTGCAGAACTTGGAACTGGCAGCCTATGGGCTTAATTCAGCCGGTCGGTACGCCGTGTGAGTTAAATATTGTAATCCCTTCAGGAGGAGCATGTACTACCCACAGCTGCCATTGTATCCACCACTGAGAAACCCAGGCACTAATAATTTACCTTACCTGCCAAGACCCTGTAGGAGTTTCAGTTGTCTTGGTTTATAGGACTGATCCCAACAACACCATCATTTTAGTCAATAGTGTTAAACGTCTTTGTTAATAGACCTTTTCCAAGCCAGGGTTAACAGGAAGCTTCATAAATGTAGACAAATACATTTATTTAGTTTCCCTCTACGCTCCTCTCTGAAGGACGTGCTAATTAGCTACGAAATGGTCAAACGGGTCAATAAGAGAAAAAAAATAACTATCCATAAAGTGGAAAATTAACAATTAATCAAAAGGAAGATTATACAGATTATACAGACTGACAAACCAAAGGGTCTTTCAAGGGACGAAATGAGGTTGTAAACATTTTTATGACCTTCACTGCTGCCACAGTTTTATTAGATGATGCACATTAATTAGGACATCTATTTGTAAAACGAGGGTAAACACCAAGTTTCTGAGTTCCTGCTCTTCCATATTCTACAGGCTTCAAAACTCTTTTTTCCCTTTTAAATCAGAAAGCTCCAAAGAAAAAAATAAAAATGAATTGACAGAAGTTCATAAGGTAAAGAAATTAAAATGATCCTTTTTATTAAGCAGAGATACGAAATTTCCCATTTCTGCATGCTGACAATTTCAGATTCTCTCTAGTTAGAATTTGTTCCTGTTGGTTGTTAATTTTCCTATCTACTGATGTTTTCCATATACCTTCCATTCAACTTCCCAAGAAAAAACAATGTTTTCTCATTTTGCCTTTATTTTGCAAATATTCCATTGTTAAAAATAAAGGGCTTCTTCTGGGGCTCCTTTGGAGGCTCTGTTACTTATGTAAATTTGAAAACTCCTCTTCCCGTCCAAGATCTGGAGTTCCTCTAAGACCCTGAGAATCACCCTTATTTGTCCTTGTTTTTCTCACCATTATAAGAGCTTTTCCATGATCATTCAGATATTATCTTTCTACATTTGTCAGCTCCATTGTGCACATTTTCCTTTTCCTTTCCTACTTGAACTGTTTACCTTCCCTTTCAGATTCAGTTTCCCCTCATGTCTTAGAAGGTTAAACTATTCATTTTTCTCCCTTGTTCAGAGCACAAGATCACCATCGTGTCCATCTAGGCTATCTTTTCACTTTCCTTTTGCATTTTTCCTAACTTAGTCCCTCCCTTAAATGTATGAGACAAAAACTTCTTATGGAAAATTGATCATTATAGATTCAAAACCAAATTAGTGCTTTTTATTTTTGTAAATATCAAAGATGTACTCATGTTCACCTTTCAGTTACTACGTATATGGACCTCAAAAAAAAAAAAAAAAAAAGCAACCAAAACCAAAACCAAACCAAACCAAACCAAAACAAAAAAACACCCCTGAGCGTGTGTTGGTGGGAGGAAGAGAACACCAGAGAGAAAAAAAACTGCACATTTTCTGTTGTGTGTCTCTCTTGTCTCATGCATGTATAGTGCATATATCTTCTGCTCTGTATCTTGTCTTTCCCCAAGTGGCAATGAATAGAAGTTTCTATTTTAGTGAAGTCAAACTTATTAATTCTTCTCTTTATGGTTAGTGCTTTTTATGACTTATGAAATGTTTCCCTAACCTCCAGTCATGGAGGTTTTTTTCCCTCTGTTAAGTCTTTATAGTGTTGTCTTTCATTGTAATTCAGTTGGAGCTTGCTAATAATGAGAGGTCTTTTTCACATTTTTCTATATGGATACTCAGTTCTGACTGTATTTCTTGAACATTCTGTTTTTTCACCATGCTCTGCTGGGCCAACACTTTCATAAGTCAAGATCCACATGTGGATGGGTTTGCTTCTGAGCTCTATTCCATCTTAGAATTCTATCTCTGTTTTGTCAACAGCCTATTTTAATTACTAGAGCTTAAATTTTGATGTCAAGTAGGTGTCTTTGCATTTCCATATAAATTTTAGAACCAGCTCGTCAACCTGCGCACATACATATAACCATGTTGAGAATTTGAATGGTACTATATTTTTAGATACATTTGGGAGACTTGGCATCTTTATAATTGTATTCTAATCCATTTATTGGGGTCTTCTTTAATGTTTCTCTATTAAGCATTATAATTATCTATGGGGATCTTACACATTTTTTGTTAGGTTTATTTCCATATAATTGGTATTTTGATAACAAAATAAATAGTATCTTTCTTTCCTAATTGTTTTTGCTGGCATGTAGAAATATATTTGACTTCCATATATTGATTTGGAAGCTAGCAACTTTGCTAAACTCTTATTGACTCTAATAATGTGTTTTTAGTATCTCAACAATTCTAACAATTTATCTGTAGACTCTCTTGGATTTTCCACATACATAAATCATATCTTGTGTGAATATTGATAACATTTTTTCCCTTTTCTAACATCTAACTTCCATCAGAATTTTACCTTCATCCTAAGTCTTACTTAGAAATGTACTGGTTAATTTCCAAACATAGGGGTTTTCTACTTCTCTGGTTTTTTAACTGATTTTTAAAAAGGATTTTATTTATTTATTTTATTTTAGAGAGAGAGAGTGAGCTCTCGAGTGGGCCACTAGGGGCGGAGGGAAAGGGAGAGAGAGAGAATCTTAAGCAGGCTCCACGCCAATCCTGAGATCGTGACCTGAGACAAAACCAAGAGTCAGATGCTTAACCAACTGAGCCACCCAGGCGCTCCTTAACTGATTTTTTTAATAGATTTAAAAAATTCTAATCAGAGTAGATGTTCTGAGTGACTTCAACCACTTAAAATTTGCTGAGACTTGCTCTGTGGCCCAGCAGATGCACCTCTCATAAGCTTGTGGAGATTGCGAAGTCTGCAGTTGTTCACTGCAAATGTCTTATCCAGGCCCATTAACCCAAGTTTGTTCATTGTTTTGTTCAAATTTCTGCATCCTTGTGGATTTTGTTTCCTGGTTAATTTGATCAATTATTGAAAGAGGTATGTTAAAATCTATTCTGTGGCTTTTTGTCCTGGTGGTGCTGTCATACACACTCAGACTTACACATTACTAGTGAGTCAAGCCTCCCATTTCTGTGACCTGAACTTTAATGATGCTTTTAGCTTTGAAGCAAAAATATAAACTATGACATAATGCTTTTTATCACTTGGGATTTTTATTTTATCCTTACTGAAAGGACTGGATTTATTTCTATGGAGATATAAATATTTAAAATCACATAGCAGTACTGTGCATATATAAAAAGGGTAAATACATGTGAAGTAAATTGGTTAATGTATTCCTAAAACTTCTTCATATACTTAGAATTCAAATTTTCTGAATCTCTCTTCAACTTAGACTCATTGGAATTCATATTTTTCCATAAAATAATGTCCTCTGGGACATCAAAAATATCCGTGAGGCAGCATTTCCTTAAAGTGTTCACAACTACTGTCTCCATCCTGTAAGTTTTGATGCTGACACTTTCCTGATCTTACCAGAAGTTCTTAATAGAAAATCTTCAGACAAGAACCAGGACTCACACTCCTTCTGCAAGTGGTCCTTAATGGTTTGTTGACAGAAACATTGAGGGATTGTAGTGGCCTAGTCATGCCATCATGATTAACAACCATATCACTATGCTTTTAGATGAAATTATTATTTAACTGCTCAGAAACACATCCATAAAATCACTGAAGACTAGAAAACATAGTAGGTTCCTGGATGTCTATTCCAGAAGACTTCTAACCAGCCCTTTATCAGCTCAACCATTAACCATACTCTTTGGGTCCACTCCCAATAATATTTTAAAAGAACTTCTTCTTAGACATTGTTTAAATTAAATTAAATATGGCAGTAACTTCAGCAATTGGCAGGTATAAGATTACAGTGACACACTGCTTGTCATAACTCAAACTCATATTCTTGATCCCTTTAAAGATCATTTTGCATTGACAGTGTAATTTTAAGTCTCCTCAAAGAAAACAAATTCTCACACCAGGCATTACCTATTTGATTAAACACATATTGCACTTTTTCCTCAATGGCATCATGCTGGAAGTTAAGTGCATTCTGTTCCAAATCAGCAGGAAATTTCTGATAAATGGATATCATACATCTTCAAGATAGTTCCTTGCAATGCATGATTCATTTACTCTAGCTTCCTATCACACTGAGATTGCATTCACCTATTGTGAGGAATTTGGCAATTTCTCTTGACACTGTTGCTTTGTGTATGATAGGCAATCCTTTTGCATGAATCTCAATAATAAAAGATAACATGACTTCTTCTGCCTATGTGCATCTTTCTTCCTTTCTTGCATCCTATAAAGCACTTTACTGTTACTTTCCATGAAAATATGGAATTTAGGATCATCCATCCAGTGACAA